TGAACTCAGCGGCGCCTGGACGCTCGCGGTTGTCACGGCGACAGGCCACGCCCACTCGCCAACCCCAGCGCTCTGCAAGGTGCGCCCGCGCAGTCGCACTGCAGCCTTCCGGTGGGAGTCCTGGCCTTGTCCTGGACTGGTGGTCCGAGCCCCAGACCACTTCCGCAGCAAGCCCCGCCCCTCGTCACGGGCAGGGCCGCCCACTTCCGCCTGGCGCCCCGCCCTCAGCCCCGCAGGGCTCCCTGCCCCGCCCACTTCCGCCTGGCGCCCCGCCCCTCCCAGGCTGCAGCCAGCATTTATGGCTGCGGTGCGGCGGAGCGCTGAGCGCGGCGGCCTGAGCGGTTCGTGTCCCGGATCCGGGGCCGCGGGTGGTGAAGTATGCTTCAGGAGCGGGCTGTGGGCGGGGAGCGCTTTGTTGTCACGCCGGATCCCTGGAACTCGTGGGCATCCTCCTCCTCCCGAGAGCTGGGCTGCTCCCTCGCCTCTGCGCGCCCGCCCGGCGAGCCCGCGCCTGGGTGAAGCCCTAGGCTCCGGGCGGTCGCCAGGAGGTCACTTGGCCATTTAGGCCAGGCAGATGGGCTCCTAGAGGAGGCTCGTTACCTAGAGGTTAGAAGGAGTGCAGACTCTTCACTGATCGTGGTGGTTCCGTTTCCATGCAGAAATTCGCCCCTTTCCCAAAGGGCTGCCCACACGAGAGTTGAAAGTGACTTGAATTAACTCCCAGGCAAACTGTTCCAGCGGAGTCGGCCAAGGTCCAGCCAGCACTTATTGTCCCAAGGTCAACGATTCCGTTGTACTATTTATTGTAGCAGTCTTCAGATTTTGAGCCCCTCTCCATGAGGAGAAGTGGCATTTTGCACCAACAGGAAGGTAGAGGCAGCCTAGTCAGTTCTTTATCCCAACCCCAGCTTAAGACCCGTCTAACCTGTTAAACACAAGATGAAGTAATTTCCCGAGCCTAAATTCCAATTTAATGTCTCTCCCTTCCTTACACGTTCACTAAAAGTTCTGTTCAGAAGTCGTACTGGCAGCTAGTTTTCTAAGTTAAAGTTACTGGTTGAGGAACTGTTATGTATGACCTTACTGCCCTCTGAACCTTGGTAATGAGATTAAAAACTCACCATCCACTGTCCTCCCTTGAGAATGATGGTGTTAAACAAACTATAATTTGCTGTCAAATTATATCTATGTACATTTGATTTTAAACCACATAGTTTTAATAGTCATTCTTCAACAAGAAATCAATGGCCATGACCCCGTCCCCTGCAAAAAAATTTCAAACACTCCAGTTGTTAATATTGTGGGTTAAACACTGGTTTCATTGCCTTCCAGAATTCCACTAAATCTTCAGGAAAAAATAAATTTAAAAAAGGGGAGATGATGATAGCAGTCAGGCTTTAGAAGCTGGAGAGCATGGTTTAGCACCCTAGAAAACCTAAGTAGAATTAATTAGGGTCTGCCCACCTTAACACTAAACCCAAACTAAACAATTCAGCACGGTATTTGTATTTCTTTAAGTCAGGGTGTCCCACGTAACTTCATAGCTCTCCTTGGAGTCTTTCCCTGCCTCTACCTCCACCCAGCTCAGCACAATTTTGGTTGAATATGATGCTTCTGATTTCAAGAATCTCCCATTTTCTGCAAGGTAGTTGTAAAAGAGTCCTTAATTAATCTTTAAAAAAAAAAAATCTACTTTGAATTGTTTTTTTTTTTTCTTTCATTTTTCCTGAATAATCCAGTCCAAAGGTTGTTAGGTGGCACTAAGCAGTCAGCAGCCAAAAAAAGGACAAAATGACTGGCTCTTTTAAAAATGAATGTATAATTAAATACAGATTATATCTAGTCACCTATAAGAGTCAAAACTTATAGTTAGGTTAGTTAGGTTTTCTAGATATGCAGAGATATATTTCAAATGGGTAAATATTCTTCAGACCTTTCAAAGACCTACAGAATATGTCATTTAAAATGATTTAGGGTTTTTCATGACAGTGAGACACAACTGCTCCTGGCAACACCAATTACTTCAGAGAGGAAGATGGACATTGAAGGAACTTGTTATGGGGTTTGCCTTTGACATGAAATGCTCTTGCCTGGATTGTTTGTATGCTGTCTAAACTGGATGTGCAGGACCCAGAACAAGGTGACTGCCGAATTTGCCAAAACACGATGGGTTCCTGCTTCATGGAAAAGTCTGCCTGACATTCTGCAAGACACACAAAACAATCACAAACTGCCACTACAGGCAGATAGCTTAAAATTCCTGCTTTGATGAGAAGTCTGCCAGACACACTATGGCCTATGGGCCAAAGATGGATGCTCTAGCGTTACAAAGAAACTTTTGGGTGACTGATCAGGCAGTGAGATGTCTCTGTCAATTCTAGAGTTTACATGTTATCCTTCTGTGGTCTTTGATGGAGTTGAGGACAGTTATGGTTTCATTACTTATGATAAAAGATAATTTACATATACGACTTTAGACTCACAAAGATAGATGATAGAATATTTCCTAAGTCTTGCTAAACATTAATGGACTAAATATTGTAACTATAGTTCTTGCTTAATTGTTTTGTTATATATAATTTGACTATATTAAAGTTAAAACCTTATTTAGACATAAAAAAGGAATTGATGGGGATGTTCCTTCTGTATATATGCTTCTCTTACTGGTTAATGAATAAAACCCTGATTGGCCAGGCAGGAAGATAGGCAGGGCTAGGAGACAAGGAGAAGGCAGAGGTGGAGTCGCCATGTGAGCCAAGAGAGGATGGGGGTCAGGTGTTCTCCGGTAAGATAAGACCACCTACAAATACTTAGATGAATAGAAATGGGTTAATAACTATGACAGAGCTAGCCAATAAGAAGCTCTAGTCACTGGCCAACAGTTTCATAATTAATATAGCATCCGTGTGTTCATTTGGGGCTGCCGGACCAGAACACTAATGCTTAAGTGGGGTCCCTTAAGAATTCAAAAGGAGGGGAGCAGGCCTCGGGGAAGAGTGGCTTGTGCACAAGAGCAGAGTAGCAGTAGAGGACACAGCCCAGACAGAGGCAGGACACGGTGATACAGTGAGCTTCCAGGGCCAGGGAGGGGGCAGGAAGAGTGTGCCAGACGGTGACAGCGGCGAGAATTTGGTTACAGTAGGAGGATAATGGGGGCCAGCTTGTTCACTGTTGGATGCAAGTGTTGGAATTAGTGACAGTAAGCTAAAATGAAAGTAAATCCTGTACTGTGGGGATTAAATGTTACCAGGTTATATAAACATCAATATAAAAACCATACACACGCATATCGCACAAGTGCACGCCCTTACTCAGGACATAAGAGGCCCAAACAGAGTCCCCATTGTAGTGACGTCATGTACAGACTGGGAAGATAGGATGTGCCAGGCTTTCTCTGTTAAGATAAGCCCAAGTAGAAATACATAGATTAATAGTTACTGGTTAATCATTAAGACAGAGCTAGGCAGGAAGAAGCCCTAGACATCACCCAAAAGCTTTATAATTAATACAGCGTCTGTGTGGTTATTGGGGGTGTAAGGAGTTTGGTTTTTCCGCCTGCTGCCGCTGGTCTTATCCCGCCGCCGCGCCAGCCCCAAATAACACACAGAGACTCTGTATTTGATATAATCCTGATGGCCTGATACTAGTTTCTTATCGGCTAGCTATATCTTAATTATTAACCCATTTCTATGTATTTCCACGTGGTCTTACCGAGAGCAGAGGAATGGCGGTTCTTTTCTCTCCAGACACTCCATCTTGACCCCTCCTCTACTTCCTCTCTCCTCCTTGTCTCCTAGTCCCTCCTAACTTGCTTTCCTATTGGCCAGCAGTGCTTTATTCATTAACCAGTATGAGAAACATATACAGAATGACATCTCCCATCAGGGGGGGCTAAAGCAGCAGCAGGACCAGGCTGGATAGAAAACTCCAGCAACAGGAGTCAAACAACCCTTTCACAGGGGTTGCCTAAAACCATCTGCTTATCAGAAATCTACATTACAATTCCTAAGAGGGTCAAAATTAGTTGTGAAGTAGCAACAAAAACAATTTTATGGTTGGGGTCGCCACGGCATGAGGAGCTGTATTAAAGGGTCACAACGTTAGGAAGGTTGAGAACCACTGCTGTAGTTAGTTCATTTGCTTCCTAAACTATCCCATCCATGTGGTGGTTTCTAAGTCCATTTGCCACTACATGAACTAGGTTCCTGGAAGAAATTATTTTGCAGTGGAGAATACTGGCAAGCACCTTACTCAGCCATAACAAACACAATGGAATTGTGCCTGGCTGATAAAGATGCAATGTAAAGGGTTAGAAATGGGAATATATTTACGCTTGGTCTAATGAGGCCTTTGCCAAGCTCCTCTCCTTGGCAGCTCGAGCCACCTAAGCATAAGAAGCATGGCCCACATCATAGATGCTGCACCTGCTCCCTGTGGAACCCTTTCCAAATGCTTTGTTTACCCTCTATCCATTCTTGTTAAATGCCAACCCTTTTGATCTCCCAAACCAGTTTCTTTTAGTTTTTAACTTGCCTCTGAGAACACCTTTCCAGATTTGTACTCTTAGTGTCTCCCAAGTAATGAAGCCTAGCCTCGTGGGCGGGGTAGACAGTGTTCCTTTTGGTAAGGAAGCAGAATTAAGAGTGCCTAGATTATAAAAGCTCTTAGCACAAATCACCATTCTTGGGGATAGGTCTCAGTGGGTAAAGCACTCACACAAGCAAGATGATCTGTGTAGACTTGGGTCTGTAATCCCAGTGTGCCTGCAGGCAGATGGGAGGGAGAGGCAGGGATCCCTGAAGGGCAGGGCTAGCTGTTCAAAGACCACTTCTAATAAGGTTATGGAAAAGAAGTGAACAACTGCCCTGAGGTAACGGCCTGGACATGCACACCGGCAAGTGCACACAGCACTCAAAGATGAAAAACACGCTTACCATTTCCCAATATGTAAGATCTGTGATTAAGATTACATAGCAGTTATCTGAAAAGAAAAATCTCCCTTTTCTTTAGGTATGTTATATATAAAAGTGGATTAATTCCATGTGAAATGAAAATGGCCAATTCTTTACGAGGAGAAGTACTGGCTCTTTATAAAAATGTAAGTAATTATGCTGCCTACTTTACAAATGTTACTATATGACATGGATTGCTTAGAGACGCATCTTTCTCTTTAAAGCTGCTGTATCTTGGACGGGACTATCCAAAAGGAGCAGACTATTTTAAACGGCGTTTGAAGAATGTTTTCCTTAAAAACAAGGATGTGAAGGACCCAGAGAAGATCAAAGAGCTTATTGCACGGGGAGAATTTGTGATGAAGGAGCTAGAGGCCTTATACTTCCTCAGGAAATACAGAGCCATGAAACAACGTTATTATTCGGATACCAACAATTAACCAGTCTTTGCCACCAGTGCCTGGCTGACAAGCAATATACCAGCTATTATAAAATAATCCAATTTACAATGGCTAGATAAATGTTTAAAAAACCAGAGTTGCCATACTGTACTAAAATGCATTTCCACCTCATTGATACTGTGAGCTTTACTCATAATCCATTATGCTCAAATTTTATTAATATAGTAACTTTAGCAAATTTCATGAGAATACAATTTTGGAAGAAAACACACCTAATTTTCTAATATGCTATGGGCAATTATTCTTAGTCTATTTTTCCATTTACTGGTGAGACTAATTAGCAAATGGTGTCTGACAGGGTTACCCTTTAGCTTGTGAGCCTTGTTTCCCCTTCATCCGGTGTACACAAGTGCATACTCAAGGCTCTCTACAAATACCTCCTCAAAATGATTTGAATGCCATTATCAAAATAAGCCCTACGAACGTGACTTTGACTGTCATTATGTAGCCATCATTTCCATTATTCTTTGTGCTGCCAGCTCCCTTAATTTCTAAATCAGTTGTCCTGCTTGGACTAGCTTTCATGAGGGGTGGTGATGCTGTTTCCATCATTAAAGCAGGTATACTTTGTCTAGCCGTGACAACTAATGTGGAATGAACCTAGCAGTCAGAACTGCAAGTTAATGCAAAAACTTAAAACATTTATGTAATATTCTTAGCAACTTTATAAATAAAGAACTTTCCAACTTAGAGCTGCAAAAAGTGCCTACTTAAAGAATTCCATATCCGCTCCCTGTCAGATGATGCAAATTTCCATCAAGAAACAGCCATTGTCTGGACTGAGGTGTAGCTCAGCGTGGATGCCTGCCTAATGAATGTGAGTATCGGGACTTGAGCCTCAAGCACAATTAAAAATGATGAGTTACACACTTCATAGTCACCGTAACTATTTTATTACATTACAATGATTAGGAGCAGTACAGTTCATGACAAAAATATTACAAATTTCAGATCACTTCACAGCACATACTCCTATAAACATTTAAAAGTTAATTTTAATTAAAAGAGTGGTCATTTTTAAATTTAATGTTTGATATGACCAACATTCCCTAGGTCAGCACAACCAAAGGATGGAAAACAACTGGATCACACTGCATATGTCCCACACACACACACAAAAGAAAATAAGAAAGAATGGGAGAAAAGCACAATGTACAAAATGTGCATGTTTCAGTTACACTATACAAAAATAGTTAAAATACATCCCAGGTAAACATGTTACATTAAGAAATAGCACTAGTAAGAAATTGGCACTGAAATAAAAATGCATAAGTGTTCCCAACACGAAGACATGGACAGTGGAGTTGGGGGCCTGGAGGTAATCAGCACACGGCCCACTCAGCTGGCTGGGGGTGGCTGGGTCTAAAACTGACATTCCTGTAGAGTACTTTTCCCAAATTCATCTACAATGCCTACCATCCCAAACAGGCACTTCAAACTGTTAAACTAAACCACAAATCTGAATCTAACTAATAACTATTCTTTGAAAATGAATGTACTTTAGAAATAATCTTCATGTTTGACAACTACTGGGTGTATCTGTTCAATTTTTTTTTCAGAGCAGAATTCATGCTACCCAGTATTATACAGAAATTAGTAGTATAAATTCACCTTTAAAGTAACTTTGTCTTAAAATATGACTACACAATTATCAACAGATCACTACTTTTTAACAAATGGAGTTTGAATTTTTATTGCCTACAACCCTCCCCTCCTAAATATGTATTTTTTGGGGGAAAATGGAAAATCAGTGGAATACAAAATGAGATGAATTTGTGCAAACTGTAACTTTTGACATGCCTCACAGAACTTAAGACAAAATTGTGCAATGGTGACAAGGGTCTTAATAACCTAAAAAAGTTAGGATCTAGATTCCTATGCAGTGTGACTCAGTCAATAGAGCCTAGAATTCCTGACTGAAGATTATTTACCAAATTGTATTTTGCTGCTATATTCTTCTCACAAACATGTCAATACCTATGACTATGATTTAGCACTGGTTTTCAACTTCAACAGGACTTAAGGCTAAAGTAACTGTATAACATTTACTTGTTGCTAGGACTTCTTCCCTTCTTAAAAAAAAAAAAAAAAAACTCTACAAAACCTTTTTGTTAACAAAAGGATAACAATTCAAAATTACATAATAGTAATTACCATTACCTCAACACCTGCCCAGACCCATTATAAAAACTGAACTGCGTCCAATACTATCTGATTATGTACTGCAGCTCCTGCAGTCCACCTGTGCTATATAGAAGCAAACAGTAAGTGTTACTAATTGTGTTAAGATTTACTATCCGGGCAGTGGTGGCTTTAGTCCCAGCACTCGGGAGGCCGAGGCAGGTGGATCTCTTGAGTTCAAGGCCAGCCTGGTCTACAGAGCCAGTTCCAGGACAGCCAGGACTGCAGAGGAACTCTTAGATGCCCTCTACCACCACCCAAAAGACTTAACATCCACAGACAGATTGTTCTATAAATATGCATAGTTTAGAACATTTCAGAAATCATACTGATTTTGTTTACTTTCCTGCAAATAAACTCAGGTTCCTGTTTACTTGTACCCAAATAAAAACTATTTTAGAAGTTGGTATTTACTTTTTGGAAGTTTTTAAAAATTATTTAGATAAGGTGAAAACTAGATTAGGGAATGTCTATTCCTTTAGAAGAATACAAAGTAGCTGATGAAAGAGTTGCATTGGAATCACACCAAACAATTCTTGCTGAATTGAGGGAAAACTGTAAGAGATCAAACCCCTCTCTGCAAAACCATGCATTCCATTCTTTCTAGGTCATGTGCCATATGCCTTACTAAAGTCTTACAGGCCATGCTACACACCGCCAGCAAAGATTGTGTCCCTTTTTTGGGAATTATCACATCACATCTCCAGTGGCTTGTGTGGTGCCTAGCATAAGACAAGCACTGAATAAATGCTGAGTAAATAAATTCTGACTTTAAAAATGAGTTTCATGATTGAAACTGTAAAGTGTTTTTCATTGTTATTTTTATTAAACAATGTGGAATCCATCACTACCCAGGATCACACCTAGATGATGACCAAGCTTTTCTTCCATAGACAGTGTTTTCTCTGTGCACACTAAATCTGAAATTCCTACTTAGCTGCAGGCATGAAGTCCAAAGGATCAAGATCAAATTTCTGTAGTGGCCACCTGAAAACCAGCTATTAGTTCAAATCCCACTATGGCTTCTGTTGGATTATTATTTTAAGCCCTGGGGAAGAAAGTCACAGGCAACTTTGTTGTACCCTCCGTAGCGGGCAAATTTCATGTGTTTGTTCACTGCAGAAATAATACTTGAAGTGGGAGACGTTACAGAAGTAAAAGAAAACGACACTAAGTTAGGGGTATGTTAGAAGGTAGCCCTGCAACTGCAGAATGGATAGTGACATACAAACGAACTCTTGCACAATTTGCCAAGACAATCCGTGTAAAAAAGTTACAGATTGTGCTGAGCGTGACTACCTGGTGTAGCAGTGTGTAAACGGTCTGTAAACCACATGGCTGAGAAGAGTCTCTGAGATGATTTCACATCAAGTGATATGCCTAAAGTCAGGTTTCCAAAAGACAGACATCCAGTCCTCATAGTCCAGTGGATTTTAATCACTTCAGACATTTGAAGGAATGCATTAGGTGGATTGAAGGGATTGTTTTTGCTGTTAACTTATCTATTCTTAAAGCACTAGATATTTCTAAATACATATCAGGTTTGGGGAGTCCTTAGAAATGTTTGTTCAGAGTTCAGAGACTAGTCAAACATGCACTGTAAAGATTTACTCTCTTTGTAGCCTCCTACCCCAAAAATCTCAACCTTGAAGCTAACATTGAAATTTTATTATCTTAAACAAAGAAATATTGATTTGTCAGCAGGACTGCTACATGGTGAGAATGCATTGTACTGAGCTGTCCAAACTTTCCTTGTCCTCCATTTCCACCCACATGGAATGTGGCAGCACTTAAACCTGGTAACAATCATCACAGGGTCATCAGGGCCCAGCGTGCAAGTTTGACTTCAGCACCTGCTAAGCTGTAACTGTCTCAAGTCATCTTCAGTTTCCCAACCAGACTTAAAACTACTTCCAAGGACATACGTTCAAAAAAAAAACCTTAAAAGTTAAGCTAAGAACACTCTGACACAGGGGTATTATACTATGAGAATTTTTTATATATGTTAAAAATTTTTAATTATTACAAAAATTTAGTAGCATGTAAATATGGCCCAACGGTTACTATTTCTTAGTGGGTCTGCCTTACTAGGAAAAGCTATTTGGAATCTTACAGTAATTTATCCAACACAGAATGGACTTTTATTCACTATTTTCCATTGGCTTTTTTCCCCCCATTTTTCCCTTTTCTAGAAAAAATATACTATTCTGGGGAGTGACCATGACTAATAGCAGTGGAAAGCAGGAGAAAGCCTTTGTGAACAGTCTAACTATATTTAGGAAGGTTGACAAACTCGAGGACATGCTAGAAGTGAACCAAAGGGAAGCCCATAAATCTATTCTTCAGTCTTAGTAAAACCAACCACAAGGTCTCAAATGGAGCTGTAATTACTAACTAAGTCACCGAATGACTAGGTGCCACAGAGCAGGAATGGTTCAAAAGCTTCATTACTTGGGCTCACACAATGCTCACAGCTGCTCAGAGAATTAGCCTGGAATCAACTGCATGCACCAAATCCCAGGGCCGAGCCCCAGGCCTCCAGTCTCTCCCAGAGGCACTGCTAGTTTAGTCCAAACCCAGGGAGTACTGGCACTCAGAGAAAAGAGTTTCCACTGTCACTTTAAAATAAGATTTAAGATAAAAGCTGACAGTTTGCACGAACAGAAAAAAAAAAAAATTAGGTAATGCTAAAACAAATGCTAATAATTTAGTGTAATGTACAAAAATTACCACTTTTACTTAAGTATGCCTTAAGAAAAAAGTACAAATTGTATTTACATAATTATACACTTTGTCTTTGACTTCTTTTTCTTCTTTTTACCATCTTTGCTCATCTTTTCTTTATGTTTTCGAATTTCTCGGACTAATGTATAGAAGGCATCATCAACACCCTGAAATATATAAAAAAGAATTAAATGTTAATGCATATGATGGTCTGAGGTACCCAGTGATAGACTTTCATTGCTAATGGAAACTTTAGTATGGACAAAGAATTAAAGTCCAGTTCATGTTGATGTTCTGCCAGCTGAACGGGCCATAATGTTAGGGTTAAGTATCTCTTCATGGATACTCTGACATTTAAAAAAATTAAATTATTATTTTAAAATGTTGTGCATTTAAAACAACTTAATGTAGATGAGTATCTTGTGTGCATGTGTGTCTGTACATCACGTGAGTACAGTGCGCAACAGAGGCCAGCAAAGGGCATCAGATCCCCAGGATCAGGACTCGCTGTCAATTGTGAGCTGCCCTGTGGGTGCTGGGAGGCTGAGTCCTCTGGAAGGACAGTCAGTGCTCTTAGCCACTGAGCCATCTCTCCAGCCCTGGTATTCCACAGAAATAGAAACTCTGATTTCACAGCATGCAATGATAGTAATTAGCATAGAATCTTACATAAGCTTAAGAAATGACCCCTTTCCCCCCAAAGGACTTGATTTTCTACTGACTCTTCCCTCAATTCCCAATGCTGGCCTCCATTACGGTCTCTGGACTTTAGACTGTAACCCACTGCTGCCTTAAGGCTGTGATGCTGCTGACCTCTGCCGGTGGCCACGGCACCAGAGACATGATGTACCTGACCACTGCGGAGGATTCTCTGGCTGTTTTATTGTTTAGCCACTCAAAACTTGTCATATAAATGTTCATCTTCAAAGAACATTCAACATTAGTCATTAAGGCCTACAGCTATTGTAATTAAAGCAAAACACATAAATCAGTTGTGACCAAAGTTGACTAAGTCAGAGTAATTCCCACCTCCTAACCCTGGCAGAAACAGTGCATTCTCAAAGTAGATCTGCTTTTAGACCTTCAATATGAACGTTCCCATTGGACTCAGCCCTTGCCTTATCTGTGTCGAAAGAGAAGCTGAAGAAAAAGGTGGTCATGATTTATTTCATCTGCTCATCCTAGTGGGAAATCCAGGAAGAAATCCTAACCTAATAACGCTTACAAACCTAGACAACAGAGAGTCTGGAAAACAAGTACCCCCAAATTTAAGCCACTTGTATTCTTTCAAGTTACCTGACTCATTTTGACAACTAATCTCTAGCTTGGGAAAGCATGACCAGTACAGTTAAAAAGGCAGAGCAGCAAAGCTTGCTCACACTTAACAAATAGGAATAGGACAGTGTTAGTATCATCTACTTCAATACAAGTGAATAAATATATAGTGCCCAAAACCTATCTGCACTCACCAGTGTGTTTCACCTCCTGAAAACCATTCCTGACACAACACAAGCAATGCCGCCAAGGGTTACTTAGATACCAAGATCCACTCAGATACATCCTTCCATGCTGCCCTTAATTTACTATTCCAGACCCTTGGAACTGGACTGCATCTTTTTGTCTGCATATGCATGTGTATGCGTGCGTGCGTGTGTGCGTGCGCACTCATGCGTGCGCGCAATACCTGTGCATTCGAGGCCAGAGAAGGACACCGGGAGCCGTTTTACCACTCCACTCTCTTCCCACGAGGCAAAGCATCTCAGAGATGCTGGTGGCCAGCTAATTCTACCCTGTCGCTGGAATTACAGGTGTAACCTGACCAGCTTTGTGTGTGATCTGTAGCAACTAGAACTCAGGTGCTCATGCTAGTACAACAAACATGGGCAGCATTCACTGAGCCACTATCGGGAGGAGAGGGGGTCTTACCCAACTCCCTTTAACCTCATGGATTCCCTTTGGTCATATGCTGTCTACTTCGATTTCTTTTTAACATCACATTCGTGTGTGTGTGTGTGTGCACGTGCACATGCCACGGCACACACAGGGAAGTCAGAGGACGACTTGCAGGTCTGTCCTCCCATCAAGTAGATCTGAAGGGTCAAAGGCGGCCTTGGCAGCCATCCCAGTGACGCTCAAACTATTTTACCATGGACAATGGCTGATACTAAAACTGGTGCAATAGGCCCTGAGGGGCGGCGGCTGTAAGAAGCCTTTTCCGGTGGAGTAAAATAAAGCACTTCAGAGACGAGGAGGAGAGAATTTACCAGCATCTACCTTTACCCTCTTCTCAGGCCCTGACAGTCGGTTACCCTCTAGCTGCATTAATTCTAATTAGATGACTTCAAGGTTAGGAAAACGCCATAGCTAATGTGCAGAGGACAGTGAACTCCCTGTATTTGTGGGAACTAATTCATAAAGCCACATCTCATATTCTAATATTTTGTTTACATTTATCCTTTTCTAGGACTGTGAACAACTAATGTGTACATATTTATCATTATTAAATAAAAATTTTACCTACTTAACTATAATCTTAAAAATCATTAATGAAGTATCCTTCCTTTATATAGAAAGTGCTATATGCACTAAAATCACAATGATTCAGTTCATAGAATCAACTATTAACATTCACCCCAGTAACTGCATCTTTTAGACATTTACAGAAGTATGTGGTTCTGCCTTTGTTTTGAATATGTTAAGTATACCACATACTCTAAATATTGTTTTATTTTAAAATAAGGGTGAGGCTGTAGAGAGGGAAATAAAGATAAAATCACCACTTAAATATGGTCATGACAATTATTCCAAAGGTTAACTTCTCAAATTTCATTTTTAATGTCAAATTATACCATAATTCCTAAAACTGAAGTATGGCTTTACACAATGACACAAATTCTAAAAGTTTATAATCCCATTAGAAATCCATCCAAGTATTGCTTTGTTTCTGAGTTTAAATCTCTTAGTCTTAAACACTAACTTTGTTTCATGTCCTCAAGGAACACTATGTGACAACATCCTCCTCACTCACTGAGTGAAGAATTTTCTGATCTAGACAAAATATAATCTGGGTTAGTTTACATGAGAGGGTCAAAGGGTCCACTTGGCATTTACTAGGAAGAACCTATGTATCAAGAATTTTAGTACACCATGGGCACACAAAGATTAAAATGTATGGCTGAGCTCTGGAATTCTATTGTCTAATAAAAGAATAAGACATAAGCTATTTCAATGCAATATAGGAAGCCATAGTTAAAAAGGGCACTGGAAATACACAAAGCAACAGGTGCTCACTTTAAGGGGCGAAGAGATTCTTAGAGACCGGGAGTCACATGTTAGCTGGTTGATCAAACTAGGGATGAGAACTGGTGATCCAAACAAGAGACAAGCGAAGGGAAGGCGGGGTGGGGTGGGGTGACATGGTGTCTGCAGACAGGCAAAACTCTGGCAAGATGGTATTTTCAGGTATAAAGTTCCAAAGGCTGGAGAAAGAGAGAGAGTTAAGGACCGTATAAGGGATGTGTAGAGTTGTGTGTTCACTGTGCGTTTCTTTAAAGCAGCCTGCACAGTGAGGTTGGCAGCTACAAGAGAAGTGTAGTAAACACCAGGAGGCCTGGGTGCCGTGACAGCACTAGGAGAGGGCTCTTCTAAGTGGGTGCGTGAGCACGCAATGTGCCCACAGCTCACTGGCACAGGGCACAGGGGGAGCCTGTTACATGTAGGCCCTTCCCCTCCTCTGGATCACATTATTATTACACATTTCTCACTCAAAAGCTGGTGGTTATCTTAAGTCTCATTTCCCTTAAAAATAAGTTACTAGTTCCCAAATGCTGAGCTTACTTAAAACTAATGAAGTCATTAGAGTTTATGGCAAATGCAGATTAGTCTATCTTAGCCATCAATTATATTAATCACTTTTAAGATGAATGTACTCATTATAAAAACAAATGACAAGTTTCTTAGGTCTTAAACTGTCAAAGCAGAATACCATCTCTAAGTAGTTCTGACTGCTTTGTTACCTTTGAAAGACATCTGCTTTGTACCAAAGTGAGTGTGCTGAACTTACCAGATTACATTACAATGCATTTTTTAATTTTCACACAGCCAGGAGTCTCTTCTTCTTTGCTGATTTTTTTCACTCTGTACTGTCGGATCTCTCTCACCAATGTATAAAAAGCATCCTCCACTCTCTGCATTGTAAAACACAACTTCTTTAAAGTTCGTTTCATTTGGAAGAGTAATTTACTGGGATAGCCATGTGTAAGAAGTTTGAATTATGAGCTTTACAGTTGAAAAAATATTTTTAAAGCAGACATCAGATTGAATAAAATTGAGGATGTGGTTTTAAAACATGAGCTAGAGCCTGGTTTGTTCTCAAACGTACTTTTTTTTTTTTTTAATCGTAATTAAGAGTTTAAAATTTTAGCTAGGAATGAGAGGAGATTGTGAAAAGCCTAATTATATGTCTGTTTCTTGATACAATAGTTGAAGTTTGAGGAACTGCAGTTTTAGGCCTGACCTTTCCTTGGACATACATCACTGATGTCACCTTCCACCCAGTGGGCAAGCAGAGGGCGAGATGCACACTAGGGACATGAAGCTCTGCTAAAACCAAACCCAAAATCCATGTCCCAAACAAAATGAGCCCAGATACGGGAACCTCCAGATTCATCTTCAATTAGAAACTTTCTAGTCAATTTCTAGGTCCCAAAGTCCATCTGCTACGAGTACCACAGTGCATGGGTAATTATAGTATTTAAATAGTAAGTTAAATAGGGGCCCAGTGCATGGGTAATTATAGTATTTAAATAGTAAGTTAAATAGGGGCCGTTTACCAAAACAAGAAAGCCTCATAAGCCATTTGAAATATAAGAGTAACACATTTGTATCCTTATACAAGTCTCAAACAGCCTGCAGAGCAACTGCCCAGACAACAGTGCCTGGAGCCTTTAAGGCCAGGATGAACAGATGGCCTAGACTAGGATAGCGGCAGGGGGCTGTGAGCCGCCATATGGCTCCTGGGAACTGAACCCAGAACCCCTGCAGCAACAGTCAGTGCCCCTAACTGCTAAGCCATAGCCCCAGCCCCTTGAACAGGTTTTTTTCTGGTTTAAGGCTGTGGTATAACGATACCACAAGGAGACTCATAAAGAGCCTTTATGGAGAAAGA